GCATTTAGATAATTTTAATGTTAATCCTGCGTTCGACAATAGCTGCAAAACCTTTTCTAACTTACTTAATCCTTCTTCTATTGAATTTGAGGGTATAATTATATCGTCCATATAAGCCGATGCTATATCCCTAGCACTAGACAGAACTAAATTGATCATACGCATAAAATTTGCCGGTGCGTTAGCTAACCCGAAGGGCATCCTATTAAATTCAAACTGCCCATCTGGCGTGACAAACGAAGTTTTGTAACGATCTTCTTCGTTTATACTTATTTGGTAATAACCAGAAGCTAAATCAAGGACAGTGTAATATTGATATCCTGCTAATGAATCCAATTGATCGTCAATCCGGGGTAAAGGAAAATTTTCTTTGTACGTTTTTCTGTTAAGGGCCCTATAATCGACACATAGGCGTACCTCACCAGTTTTCTTTTTAACAACGACTATGGGACTAGCATAAGGTGACGTCGAAGGTCGCACTATTTTGCAGTCGACTAATTCGTTAACTAACTCCCGCACTTTATTCCTTTCGCAAACAGGTAACCTATAAGGTCTGTACACTACTGGCTCATCGTCTTTCAATTTAATGGACATATTTACTAAATCAGTTTTCCCAAGTTCCTGTAGACTAAAAGCAAAACACTGTCTGTAATTATTAAGCAAGAGTATTAATGAATTAATTGTTTTAGTACTTAGCGTTCCATCGGACATTATTTCATTACTGCTAATACTACGCGGAAATGTAGGTACGTCTATTCGGAGAACGTCAGGCTTATTATTATTACTTAGTGGCTCAGCTCGAATACACCTAGCTATTACTGTACCACGTTTAATAATAAATGTTCGCGAACTAATCCCTTTCACCAATGCTATACCTAGACCATTGACAATGGAAAACAATCCTTGAACCAGATAGTGTTCTTCCCCATTTTTGAACCTATTGCTGCCCTCAATATAAACATCGCCCGTAAATGAAGGGTCTGTGCTAAATTCTACTAATGTCAGTCCGTCAATTATCGTATCTTTGGAGCAATTAAGGTTATACTTAATACGTGTTGGTGCTATTTCATTTGAGAATATTTTCAACATTACATTATCCTTTTCAACCATTATGTGAGGTTGTTCAGTAAATGATCTACCAATTAGCAACGGCTCTTTCAGTACTTCATCCGGTACGATAACCAGTTCTACCAAAGCACTAGCATGATCAATTTTAACTGTGGCCAAAAATTTACCTATTGGTTTAACCATTGAGTTGCCAAATCCTATCAGAGGTGGTATCGAATTATCAGGAACCCATTCGACATCTAAACTTTCTACATCTGACATTCTAATAAGACTTACTGCGCTACCAAAATCAATAAAGCATGTTTTTAAAATACCATTTACAACAGCCTCTTTATAATACTTATGACAGTTCGCGTTAATACCAGCTACAAGCATGACGGAATTAGATGTAAGTTTACTATTGGTATTTACTAAAGTCTTGCTACCATTCTCGCATTTATCCGAAGTATGTCCAAAACGTAAACATTTAGTACATTTTATAATTGGGCTAGGGCATTGAGATTTATAATGACCCCTTTGTGAGCAATTAAAGCATATTATTACGCGATCCCGTCGGATATCATCCCTACTTACACTTGAATCAGTATTTCGAACACGTTTTCTATCATTAACATTACTAGTACCCCTAGTACTTATAAGAAACGGAAGCAATTGTTCCGGCGTTTCAAATCGAGCCGATTCTGCTCCTAACCTTACAGTACGATCGTCAATTCCAAATACAATGCAATCTACAGCTTTCTTTCCTTCAATGCCACAACGATTCAATAAAACTACTTTGTCATAGAAGTAATCCTCGAGAGATTCGTTAAACCTAGCACGTTTGGCTAACATTGTCGAGAGTAATCGCCCATAGTTATCATCGTTAGGAAAAGCCAGGCGCAGTTTATCTTGCCATTCCTTCCACGTAAACATTACAGTATTGAGACCTTCATACCACTTTTGAGCAGTACCCTTCAATTTTGGAAGTGCATAGTGAGTTGTCTGTTTGTCAGTCCAGTCATAAATAACTGCACACTCATTTACTTTGTGCAACCACATATCAATGGTCTGTTCTTTACGGGAGGGATCAAAGTCTGGAAGCGTATTTTGTGTCTGTAATCTATCATTACTATTATTTTTCCCTATAGTTTGTAACGCTTGTATTAACTGTGTAAGAGTAACATTTCCACTATTTGACAAGGTTTCTGGCACTAACCTGTCTGGTGTTAAAACTTGTCGGGGAGACTTTTGCTGTTGTTGCCGTTGCATCTGGCTGGTTTTAGTATGGCCACGCTGCACGGCCCTGCTGTGTCCAGGTCGGCTGCGTGAACGGTGACTGGTAGGACTTAGCGATCGGTGGCTGCTGTGGCTGCGCGTCCGGTAGTTGGCACGACTGTGCCTGCGATGATCAGCGCGACTGCGTGACTGCACACACATACGGCTGCGCGACCGTCGGCTGGGCGAGCGACCACTGCGGGTCTGGTGATGGTGGTTCGCATGGCTTCGCACACTGCGACTGCTATCACCACGACGCTGACTTCTAGTGGACTTCAATCTACTCCGCGATCGCCGATCCACTGGCGCCTTGGGGCTCTCATCGTTTCCCATTTCACTGTTGAAATATTTTCGACACATCATTTGTACAACAACAATTTAAAGTAAAAGTTTAGACTGACAAAGGTTATACACATTATACACCGTATCACATACTAAGAACGTTATTTTATCCAACAAAACAACAGAAAAACGAAAAGTAATAAAGACAAAAATTTTATGTATATTTCATAAAACACAATTGATACTTTTACTGGAATACTATATAATATATTTTTAAATTCATATAATGTAACTTTCTAATTTTATATTATGTACAAATATTTGTAGGCTTGGCAGGTAAGCAAAAGAGAAAAAAAAAATCTGTTACTCACCTTATCCCACTTCTGAAATGTTGGCACTAACTTCTGGGTCGGCGATTTTTTTTCAATAAAACACGTTACTTGCACTTAGTGAATTTACTCTCACGTTCCAACACTTACACAATCACTTTTCTTATTCCTTATTTTACAAAAGTTGATTAAGAACTGAGCTATATTAAGACAGTGTCACATTTTTATTAACTACCCGAGACAATCAATTGACTTAAAATAGTTCAATAACAGAATCAACATAATCACTTTATTTAATTAAATTAGTTTAATATTTTTTTAATAAGTTTATAATTATTATCTATACCAAATAATATTTATTATACATTCATGGAGTGATTTATGATATTACATATATTTTATGATATTACATTATTATAGGCCAACACAAGTGATAATATACACATATAATACTATGACTCTTAGACATAAACTACGTGATTGAAATCGTTAAAGTTTTATAGACCTAGTAAAAAACAATCTATTATTAAAAAATAACAAAATGCATCATGGAATAGCTTACAAAGCACTAGCTAAAGTGATAAATAAAAGGTCGTGTCCTTAAGAAATCGTTGCGCGTCATTTTCTTTCGAGTTTCCCGAGTAGACTTGTTTTACTTGGTAAAATTACGTAATACTAGTGCAGGTGTAACTTCAGAGCGAGCGGCGAGAAAATTGCAACCGTACAAATGTTTGTTTCTAACGGTCTCTCACGAAATAGAATTCTTATGAAATACTGTACCGAAATGTTATAAAATTTTTCATATAACATGTTACTGAATTTAATACAGTAATGATGGATTTTAGGTTATTTTAGTTTTAAAAATATTATGTATCCTTCAATACAAGGGGGATCAAGCCATAGTCCACCACGCTGGTCAAGTGGGGGTTGGCTGGCTTGGACGTCACATGTCTTTCGAAAACTTGCTAGGTTTTCTAAGACATGCAGGTTTTCTCACTATGTTTTTCTTCACCGTAAAGCAAGTAGTAATTATGTTGGAAGTGGTTCGAAAATGAAAATATCAGATTCAATTTATGTACGAAATCCTAATGATATTGACCTATCACTGATCATTTTAATCTAAAATCATATGAAAAATTCAATTTAAAATGTATGAACTGTTTCAAAGTTTTATACAAAAGTAACACTAATCCTTTGGCTAAGCTTTCTATAAAAGAAATTCTATTCTTCAGTAAATGATTGCACACATAAAACTCGGTTACGGCAAGTTTTATGCTCAAAGACATAACTACGGTTTCCACATTTCGCATTCAAGTAGAATAAACCCCTTCACCGAATACAAGGTTCTTTAGAATATTACGAAGCAATTTCATATTGATTTCGAACTGAATGTTTTATAAATACTTGTAACTTTAACATGAAATTATTGACTAGATTTTGAGTGTGGCTCCTCTGGCGTGTGCTTTGATACTGTATTAATTCTAAAATAACTATAGATGTACTGTTCTACATGAGAGCGATTAGTTCGTATGCGTAGCTTAAGCCCTTTCAATGTACCTACTTGTTAATATTATTTATGAAATTTATCAATATTTTATTTTTAACATAGTTACTTTATTGGTTTATTTTAAACTGTTCATGTAACGCACGCCGATAAAGCAACTACAAGTATTATTAAATAAAATTATTATGATATCTGACAGTATACAAATTTTTATTGTTTTTTTTGAATCGTATCGGTACTTTCAGAAAATCAGTGGATAAATAAAAAAAACACGGCTATATTAAAATTTAAAGAATAGTTTGAAAATATAACACTTAATTGTTATAATAAAAAATATCAACCTAACATTTTAATGCAATTTCCCAAGTAGAAAAAACGTTTTGAAACAAATATTTATTTCTCAATGAAATAACAATATAAGCCATCATCATGTTTCCTGGTATAACAAAACAAAACTCATTACATCAAAATTTAAAGGAAAGGTCGCTTATATTGACTTCGTATGTACTTTAGGATGACCCCAAAGTTTTATAGATAAAGCTTAATAAACATTTTGTTCACAGTGAGGCCGTTATCAGTTGAAATTTTATCAAGAGAACAACCTTTATCAGTGGGGAGGCAGGCTGAAATATGGTGCAAGTCTACTGGTGCAAGACCGCCCGCCACTGTGACCTGGTGGCTTGGAGGAAAACAACTAAATTCAGTAACAAAGCAACAGGTATAACAATTTTTTTTAGTAAATATCTTAGAAAATAACTAAAAAATACCTTAGAAAATAACTAAAAAATACCTTAGAAAATAACTAAAAAATACCTTAGAAAATAACTAAATATGTGTAAGTATTTCTTCTTTTTTGAAGTTGGGTAGAATTAAAAATTATTGAATATTTATACAAACAAACAAATAAACTAATTTGTGCATCAGTAGTTATTTATGCAGAATTTTCTTACCACATAAGTACATAATATGTATATCATTCATATTCTTACATAATATGTATATAAGTGTGTCATTGAGCATCTTAATGAGTGAGTTGTATTTGGAACTAGCGACACCCTCGCTTCCCTCGGGTTCGTCCCTAGGTACCTACGTTTTAATTTTTGAACGGAACCCTAATTCTTTTTCTAAAATAAAAGTAGCCTCTGTTACTCCCTATAACATCAGCTATCAACAACAAACAACAAGTCCCGTCAAAATCAGTCCAGCCAATCTCAGAGTTTATCTGGAACAAATAGATAGATAGACAGACAAAAATTTTAAAAATTGTGTTTTTCTCATAAGTACCGTATATAATTTGATATGCATTTAGTAAAACAGTAGTATGTATGTATATAAGTATGTATGTATGTATGTATTATGTATGTATGTATTTATGTATGTCTGTATTTAGGATATGCAATTGTGTGTAGTAAGTACACCGCCTACCATTTCATATAATTTCTCCTACGCCCTAAGGTTGCCTGGAAGAGATCGCTTATAGCGATAAGGCCGCCTGCTGTGCATTATCTATTGTTTATATCTACTTTTTGTATATTTCTTTGTGGTATACAATAAAGCATCTATCTATCTATCTATCTATCTATCTATCTATCTATCTATCTATCTATCTATCTATCTATCTATCTATCTATCTATCTATCTATCTATCTATCTATCTATCTATCTATCTATCTATCTATCTATCTATCTATCTATCTATCTATCTATCTATCTATCTATCTATCTATCTATCTATCTATCTATCTATCTATCTATCTATCTATCTATCTATCTATCTATCTATCTATCTATCTATCTATCTATCTATCTATCTATCTATCTATCTATCTATCTATCTATCTATCTATCTATCTATCTATCTATCTATCTATCTATCTATCTATCTATCTATCTATCTATCTATCTATCTATCTATCTATCTATCTATCTATCTATCTATCTATCTATCTATCTATCTATCTATCTATCTATCTATCTATCTATCTATCTATCTATCTATCTATCTATCTATCTATCTATCTATCTATCTATCTATCTATCTATCTATCTATCTATCTATCTATCTATCTATCTATCTATCTATCTATCTATCTATCTTTCTAAAGCGCTGTTATTTTGACATTACAAAAAGACACTTCAATTTTATTTAGGCGTATAGATGAAGTACTCGTAAATAAAGTTAACTTTTAATAATACGCAGACAAATTTAACCCCTAAAGATGTGAAACGGAGTATCAAAATTTGTATGAAAAAATCATAGATATCATTTTGAAAATTCACAGTATTACTTCTTTCAACAAATAAATAAACACGTCTTTTTTCAAAAACAACCCCTTGGCGCAAGCAAAAATACGGGCAAAAGCTAAAATAAAATAAAAAGTATACATATTAATTGTGTCTACAGATTCATACTACGAGACTTACTAAATTATTTGAAGCAAATACCTCTTAGAATATACAAATATGCTTAGTAAATGAGACACGTATAATAGTATATACATTAATAACTTTAAACGATGAGTACGTATGAACTTACTCATGTCAAAACACACGTTTGCCATCTGCACTAAGTGTGCAATAGTAAGCATAAGGTGACAAGCTACTGAGTACTGTAATAATGCAACAGGTAAGGAAATGTAGGGAACTCCACTTCTTACTTCAGAATGTGCGATCTGAAATGTAACAATAAGATTTAACTGAAAATATTCTATGCTGTAAATATTTTTAAGGGAGGACATAAATGAAAATGATATTCCACTCTAATTTTCATATATCTATATAATTGGTAAATAGCTATACTTGCTTATGATGGGAAAAGTATATATTTATGGTACAAATAGTGACATAATATTAAAAAAATGGAAACCCCATCAGGCATAGCAATCCAGTGCAAATTCGCATGGCATCGCAATCGCTGTTATTTTTACACTAGCGACTGACGCTCGCTTCGCTCGGGTTCATCTCTAAGTACATTTTAACGATTAGTATGGAATAGATAGATTATATATCATATGATAAATGACCTATAGCCTTCCTTAATAAACGGGCTGTTTAATGCTAAAAGAATTTTTCAAATCTGATTAATGGTTCCTGAGATTAGCGCTTTCAAATAAACAAACTTTGCCTCTTTATAATATTAGTATAGATAATAAACTACAATCCTAGATACGCGTTTGCTTCAGTTTAATCCCCATCCAAATATTAAGAGTAGTAAAAGCTTTATCCTAGGAGGTACTTAGCAATTTTAAGCCTGTATAAGCTCAACAATAAAAAAATGTATAGCAATATCAACGAGAACTTATAAAAACTCTTCAACTCGAAAAAATATTGCATCGACTTCGTATTTTAATAAAAAATTCAATACATACCAATATTTTTCCATTACTGTGAATACTTTATTAAAGTAGTATATATATTTTTTCATATGTAAAAGTTATTCTTTTGATACTAATTCATATTTTTTTTATCTTCATTTTGTTTTTAAACAGGGTTTGTTCACAATTTGAGCATGCCACACTCATTGGAGTACTACAAAAACAACACGATTTACAGCTATTTTATAAATGTTATATAATACTCTAGCTTTCTTTGATTCAGCACCTAAAATACAATTGCGAAATAAATTCAAATAAATTTATACTACTCACGCATTCATCTTTCGGCCTCATTTTGAACTCATTCCACTTGGACGTGCTTAACATAGTCGACAACGTGACACTCTGAACAATTAAGAGATTAGATACCAGGCAAGCAAAGTTATTTAATGGAATGTGTCCAGAACGAAGTCTCAAAGCTGATCGATCGAAAAAGATCATAAATCTCCAAAGTATAGCACCAGAAACCCACGGAGACCAAGAGAGAGATGACTGTAATTTACTCATATCTTCTCCAACATATTTTTATATCATGGAGTTGATAACAACACTGCCTCACTCACAGATTTTGTTAAAAAATGGGAGAAACATTCACCATTTTGTTTCTTTACGCAGATATATTGCGAATATATAATTAAAGTTCAAAAGGCAATATGCACTTTGATACGATAAATAAATTTACATACGAAGTATAAATAAGCAAATGATTTCACGTGAAAAGGTTCTTAAAACAGTGTGGCGTAGTATTTAGTAACAAATATTTGTCGAGTCAACATTTTCTAACTGATGACTTGCCTTTAAAAGTGCACTGTAACATTTAAACATAACTTGAATCAACTAGGTATCATACTATTTATCCTCATTAATAATAATATTTTTTAATATTTATTGTTTTGCACAATTATTAAGAGTAACAAGTTTTTAGTATATTACTTTGACATAAATTATTGTTATTTAAATTATTTTTGCTTTAATAAATATATTAAAATGGCACTGGTAGCCCAGTGGTAACGCGCTCACTTGAGAAATCGAGTGAAGTGGGTTGAAATTCGGGTCTTGCACCTCTGATATTTTCATGCTCGAATCATTTCCCACATAATTACAACTTGTCTTACGGTGAAGGAAAACATCGCGAGGAAACCTGCATGTCTGAGAAAACCTAGCAAGTTTTCGAAAGACATGTGCAGTCCTTCAACCCATACTTAGCCATCGTGGTGGATGACCTGATTCGTATATTTTTTTTATTATTTTTATAATTTAAATTACTTTTCACCAGCTATTTTACTGTTATATGTAAGATTTGACAAGTGAGAGAAACTTTAAAATCTCTTCGTTATGTACAAACAGACGTATTTTTCATCTTTATAATACTATAAGAATGAATATAAAATGTTTAATAAAATTTTACATAAAATAAATGTAGTGGTATTTATATAATATATTCGAGGGTAGAATATGTTATAAACTTTAATTTAAAATATTTAAATACAAAGAAACTTTCATGTAACATATTTAAGAACAAAAGAGCTAGGAAAATTTTTAATGGATCTCAGATGCTAATCAAAATAGTCATTTAGGGGCTCTATGTAAGGGAAAATAAAAGTTAGGGTTCAAGGTCAGTCGGTCACTAACTTGTTATATTTACAAACGAAATATGTGTTTGACCAGCCTTAAAAGTTTGATGATTACATTTTTTAATATATTATGTAGATTTACAAATTGATATTAGCTAAAAATTTAATATCTAAACATATAATAAAATTCTCAGTCGAAACTGTGCATTAAATATTTTATGGAAAAGTCTTATTGAAATAGTCATTATTATCGATACAGAGGCCGAATCTATAGTTTTTAGAATTTTTGTCTATATATCTGTCTTTGACCGCATCACGAGAAAACCACTGGACATATTTTGATGAAACTATACATGATGATAGCTGGGTATGATAGTATACTTTTTACTGCGGGAAAATATCTTATCTCTGAGAAGTCTATACTCAACGTTAATAAAGTAAAAAATCTGTAAGCACAAATATTTTTCCATATTTGACTAAAATATTTCATTGAAATAACTGTGGTGTAATTAGGTTACATTTTTTTTTTCCTTCATAAATGAACTATAATTCACCTCAAGTTATATAAATGGATTTCCTCATTTGCTTATTCGACAAACTTTTTGAATCACCATAACTTTTATATTTTTATCTAAAGCACACATCAACTTCTACCTGCCAGTTAAAAAATGGAAGGGATTGCAAGGGATTTTCAAATTTTATTTCGACTAACGTTTTCTACTGAATTTTGCCCAGAAATATAAACCGTAGAGTTTTCGCCCTTACATTTCCTTCATGCTTCAAAGGTCCTGTTAAGCCATAGCACCCGGTTAAGCGTTAGCATCCCTTAATTAATCTAACCTAGTGTGTTAACGATTCGCCCTTGGCTTAGCCACTTTAAGAAGGATTAGTTTGTATAAGTGGGTATTAAAATATTTACGGTTTACAAAATCAGAATTATTCTATTGAATAAGCATAGTATATTGTTTTTAAAGCTATATGATAAGCATAGAAGAATGTAAATCTTTTAAACCTAGTTAGCAATCCTTTCACCGTTGTAATATATCAAACTAAAATTCTGAATCTCCATACGTTGATCGTTTTATATCGTTGGGAAATGTATTTACGCACACCATCTGTATGTTTATGTAAAAACTCAGTGATTAAAAAAACCAACTCTATTCCATAAGGTAACACAGTGTCAGGTTAACGAAAAACATAATACATATATATAGAAAATATACAGACAAACAATCAGTTTAAGTATACACATATAACCTGATTGGAATTTAAAACCGCTAATTATGGTGTACAGCGGTACTATAGTCTATACATATAATAAATGTGTAACTGGTCGCTGTCTGTACATGGAAGATATTTGAGGAAAACTATCATTCGGGGTCTTTATTTATCCAATAGAACCATTTTTAGAATTTTTGTCTGTTTGTCCGTTTGTGTTTGTCTGTGCGTTTGTGCGCGCTAATCTCAGAAACGGCTTAACCGATTTGAATGTGGCTTTCTCTAATATATTGTGGTAAGCTTCACTTAATATTTAATATTTGTTTTATTTCAATCGGTGCATAAATAAAAAAGTTAAGTCAATTTAAAGAAACACCTTGGGACGAACCCGAGTGGAGCTAGGGTGAGTCGCTAGTATTTATAATATATTCGCTATGCCAAGAAGCCATCAATGCTTCACATTATAGTGTGACAATAGTATAATTGTATTTACTCTACTATTACTACACATTCCGTGAGTATAATATGTACACATATTGTATATGAATTTAATGTAATTCAAATTAGTCTTTATAATATTCTATAACTAGCTGCTAGCCAACATTTCGGTGGCATTCCTAAGAGCAAAACAGTAGCTAGTGTGTTACTAGCATTCATTTCAGCATAGGCAATTTATCTATATAGGTAAAAGCTGGATAGTTGATCTACTTTTTAAAAATCTCCAATTACATAAAAATTATGTATCTACTTACAATATGCCCCGTGTATAATAAAACATTGGTCTTTAATCACGCCGGTTGGTCTTTAATGGCTTAAGTATGTTAACGAATTTCTCGAAAACTAATATACTATTCTTTATTGCACTTATATGTAAAATACAGCGAGTAACAAACAATAAAATTAGTTAGCAAAGGTGGACTTATCTCTAGAAGAGATCTCTTCCAGTCAACCTAAGTGAGTTAGAGAGATAGTATTAAAATGCAGGCTAAAGTGCAGTAACTCAAATGTAAATACTTAAATAAATATATATTATATATACATATAACAAAACATTATACATATATATACCATAACATATGTACATACTACTACATACTAAGGCCTTTTTTAAGCTGGCATCGAGTCTAAAAATACTTTAAATAAACTATTTATTTGAGATTTTATTTTGATGTTTGCTTAGAATCATTTCCAAAGCTTTCTAGCGAATAGGCCTTCAAATGGTTTCATTCCTTGTAAAAAATGTATATATTTTGTTAAAAAATATTTATTTTTTATACAGACAACATCTAAAATTAACTATAGATTATAACAAATTTTATGAAAATTCTACAAATTATACTTTTTTTTCAGGAACTGGACGATAGAAATGAGACGCAATCACTACTAGCATGGACACCTCTAAAGGAGCACAACAGAAAAGTACTTACATGTAGAGCAGAGCATTCAAAATTCAACAAATCAACAATAGAAAGCAAATTACCTTTAAATATTTATTGTAAGTATCGTTTTTATTTGTATTATATCTCAATATAAATAGCTTATATAGTAAAATATATAATTTATATAAATTATAAAATATTCATTCAGATTTAGTAAATTGTAGTTGCTACAATTGCAAATTAGATTGCCTTGAAAACACAGTAAAGCGAGTTCAATTTGCCTATAGACCCAGAGGTCCTGAGTTCGTGTCCCAGGTCGGTCATTATTTTGAATGTATAAGAAGGCCTTATATTTTAAGAGTAAAATAAGAGGAAGTCGTTCTAATTTAGCTTGCAAGATTTGACCTATACAAACATACCAACTAACAAACATTGCAAGTTAAATAAAAGCGTCTAATAAGAACTTTTTAGATATTCTAATTTACAATTTGTAAATAAAAGTATAGAAAGGAGGAATATGTAAAATTAGTAATATTTAAGAAAATACTAAGTAGTAGGAGCAAAATAATACTGTTTATTTTCTCTTAATAAAAGATATTAATGTTATGTTCATTCAAATATTGTGTAATATGCGGTAATTGTACCAATTTACACAAATTTCATTTCAGCATAATAATCTTCTATCCCATTAAAATCTACTGAATTTTGTCTTTTTATGGGGAACAAATTAATATATTCGATTGATATAATCGATTTTTATAAAATAAATAATAAAAAATATATAATATTTAATTACTAAAACAAATTTATCCCACGGATTTTTTTTCTAGAATAAAAGTAGCCTATGTACTATTCCAAACTATAAACCTCTGTGCCAAATTTCATTCAGATCCATTCAACCGTTTTGGTGTGATTGAATAACAAACATCGAACCATCCATTTAAATTTTCACATTTATAATATTAGTAAGATTAGGAGTTCTTATTAATATAACCATTGAAATTGATTATTTTTTAATGGTAAAAGTTTACCCAAATTAAAAACGAACAACATTTCAAGTTCCTTATATCCCAAACTTTAACTAGTTTTGTTTAACAGTCACGTAATTTCGTGTCGTCTTTGTTACTAAATGTTTTACTTAGTAAATAACTTTCTTAATAAGTAGCTATTTTGTAAGTTTAAATCTATTATATTTAACAGTAGAAAACAAATAAAAAATTTAAATTCTAACAAAGTCTTTATTAATGTTCAATTAATAAAGTATGCCCAAGTCTTATAGTACCGCGTGTTTTATCAAAAATGTATAGTTAGTTTTCATACGTTGAAATCATTTATATAAGTGTACACTATATTTCAAAATAAGAAAAACAACATATCTAATTCTATAAATTGTACAAAGGAGAAACATAAGTCGGTATACGTAAAAATCTTTTATTATTTATAATAATATTTTTTATTTCAAAATGTTACTTCCAGTTGTTAGTAAAAATAATTTGGCCTTAAAACTATATTAGTAGACAAAATTATTCATTTATAGTTCAATTTTAACTATCCAGTGTAGAGGATATTATGAATTGTCAATCCTCACAATGCTTTTATCTTAACAAAATTTTTAATAAACAAACAAAAATTAGCACAATTTGAAATAGTGAAATGCATTAGAGTATAAAATTTTACTGTGCTCCATATTTCAGAGGATTCACTCCAATAATATATCTAACTTTAACAAACGAACATCCAACACGTTCTGATTTATCAAATTTGCGGTAACTGGGATGGAATAAGGTAAAAATATATTTTCGACGTAGAAATGAAACTTTCATGCACTCATAAAACCGCGTCAAATATTTTGTATAACAGGTTATTTTTGATATGGAGAAAACAACTCTATATAGATATAAATAGAGTATTTTATTCAACAGATGTGCCGGTCGCTACAATGCATCTAGGTGCCAAGATGAACCCAAACGATATCGAAGAGGGTGACGATGTGTACTTCGGATGTGAAGTCGATGCCAACCCACCCGCTTATAAAGTAGTGTGGGAACACAACGTAAGTATGAATGATGCTTTATATTTTATTATACATTTCCCGCTTTGTTGGCCTGATTTTCTATGAAATGAAAGGAGAAATTGGTATCGTATATTTTATGTAATATTTAAGTACCTTTTATGTCTTCTATATATATAAAAAGATGATAGCGAGATTGTTTGAACGTTTTGTGGATTATATTTCAAATATATATACGTTATTTGAAATTGAGTAAAAGTAATATAATAAATGATAAAAATTTCACATCATTTTTCTTTTTTTTATTCCAACAAACATACAAATAGCTGTAATAAATAGTTTATTTTTCTTTTTTATATTTGATGATGTTCTCCTAGCCGATTCCGGCTACGGCGGCCAATCTCATTGAGATTAGCCAACTGCGCAGGAGATATTATAGTGCTCAAGTGTACGCGCAGACACAAGTGCACTCTCTATTCTTATCACTCTCATACTCCGGTGGGACGACCACTCGACACGACCGGTGAGAGTTAAGGCGCAGGACCGACGGCTTTACGTGCTCCCCGAGGCACGGGGGTGAAACACCGCCAACTTCCCAACTTCGTGCTGTTACTGAGACTTACTATACAGAAAGTCTCAATAACTAAACTTGGCCCGACCCGGGACTCGAACCGAGGACCTCCGGGTGTGCAGCCGTACATGCTAGCCACTACACCACCGAGGCAGTCAGTTTAATTAGTGAATTTATTCTCTAACAATTTTTTATATTGACCTCATGTTTAAATAGTGTAATATCACATTTCTGTTGGTTATGCATTATAAAATACTTTTAAAGGAGGCTTTAAACAGGTTATAATATACATATTTTTATGCTATTTGAGTAGTCAATGGTTTGAGTTCAAATGTTTTTACATAATTGGCAACAAAATATGTTATAAATGCATAAATATGTAGGAAAAATGTTAGTAAACAATTACGAGTATTTACTGTATCAATTTTATATTTACTCATGACGTCAAAATTTATGTCTATACATATAATAAAATTGTAACTGAGCCGAATCCGTACATTAAATGTTTTTTGGAAAATCTTATTGAAATAGACATTATTATCGACACAGGCTGAATCTATAGTTTTGATATTTTTGTCTATCTGTCTGTCTGTTACCGCATCACAGAAAAACCAGTGGAGGGATTTTGATGAAATTTGGTATTGTGATAGCTGGTTACCCGGCTCAATATATAAGACACTTTTTACCACGGGACAATATCTCATTTCTAAGAAAAATATAAAAACTGCATTGTAAGAGCATACTAATATGTAAAACCTAAGAATTTGCTTTTTGGTCATCTGAACGCGGGCGGAGCCGCGGGCAATGCTAGTTGATAATAATTTTCTTTTACGATGTCTATGAAAACGCATTTGATGACTTCGATGCGCTTGATAGGTCTAATATTCGGTTACTGCAATATATACTTTAAGACGAATCATTTAAGTTGAAATTACTATAAAGAAGACAATAACGCTTATTAATTTAACACCAGCAGCGGCCTCATGAAACTTTTCAAAGAGTCGCTTAGAGATAATTACGTATTGAATGAGGTTTTATCTAGCGCATTATCTTTTTCAGAAAAGAAAGAAATGGAGCGTTCATTAAGATTTAACGTAACTAGTACACTCGATTTAATTATAACATGAATAAAGTTATAATATCTGTTAATTAATCTTATATATTCTATGTTTTTCTATTTTATTTTTTCTCTTATAAAATGAAGTTAATTCACTTTGTTTCACTTTTTTCATGACATATAAAACAAGCAAGTCATAAATTAATATATATATATATATATATATATATATATATATATATATATATATATATATATATATATATATATATATATATATGTGTACATATAAAACTTATATAAAATTATCCGAATTACTACTTAGCATATAAATCACCTTATGTGTGGAACTGGAGACCGAATATGCTCTTTCTCTCTTTGTTTCGGCAACGCGTACATCTTATGCCCATAAGATATACGCAATGTAGCAAGTACATTTACTAAATAATTAAAAATGATAAGAAGCAATTTTAATTTATTCTGTCAGGAATCGAACCCAGATCCTCTAGTATTCATCCTAATCTGGTATACGGTCATCACAACACAAGCAATTACGTTTGGTTTAAATATAACCGCTTTGTAAATAAAAATACACATTTCAAAGTTCAAGCCAATATAATAAATGCGAAATAGAAAAACTGTCAGTCGAACTAAACAAATGCAAATTTGCCAGCAACCTACATTTTTTGTGGCGTTTGCAAATTGTTACATTTAACCAATTCAGCGAAGCACATCCAAAAGTAAATGTCATTTATAATAACAAAAATATTTTTTTCTGGGACAATTTTGTATTCATAGCAAAATCCTGTATTCATTTTATGTTCGAGTTTAGTTTTTGATTGACCGCGTGAAACGCCATCGGTTTGGAAAACGTTATTTTCACAATTTTTACCTTAAAAAATTGGAGTTTCGTTTAGAATTATTCGATACTTTGATTTATTTTAAGAAATGTAAGATATGACCTTATTTAAGATGCATAATTTCGTCTTTCATCATTTTGTTCATTTCATGAATGTGTTATCTGATTTACCATTTTTTTTCTCTCTATCAATTAAAGTTGAAATATGATATTGAGTAAAGAAAAGTAAGCGCTCTATATCGTGTCTTGTTAGTTTTAGTGTAGAGAAATTATTAATTTGATTGTACGTTCAAAGTAAGGTTTTATAGTGTCTATTTTCTCAAGCCTCGTAGCTTACCATGGAACTAGATAGTGATGTGTGTTAATGTCCCAACATATTTATTATTATTTTAAATGTTCATGAGCTGGTATTTTCTTATTTAAAGATTTTTAAAATTTTGCTATAAAATGTTTAAGGTTTACTCCTTGGTTGCTATTATGAATGTAGCAATGTATTTTATAGGTTTTTCTATACTGTTTTATAATTGCTTTGCTCGGTTGCTTCCCTAGGTACATATAATTACAGTTGCAACAGTTTTATAGATCTTATTAAGAGGAATATTGCCACAATACATTGTTTTCATATATGTAACTCCATTCTTTTACGCGGCATACACCAGCAAGGCTCCCAATGGGCATAATTTTTTCCAACATCTTCAACAAACGTCATTTCAGTCAATTTACACAAAACCTTAATGAATGCATTATATAACTTAAACCATCCTCATGAATTACCCCATCCATTTGAGAAAACCGTATGAAAATTTGTTCAGTAGTTTTTGAGTTTATTGTGTTCAGACAAACAGATAGTCAGACGCTGTGGGAGAATTTTGTTTTATAATATTTAATGATTTAGTGAAGCTTAAAATATGGTCACATCGTAAGCATATGATATAATTTGTAACTTGATCTATTGTTAATTAATATTCTATTGTTCACCCACAGGGAGTATTACTTCAAAACAATCCGTCTAATGGAGTTATCTTAACTGGTAACACTAACCTCGCTCTTCGCAACGTGTCTCGTCATCAAGCTGGCACATACACCTGTACAGCATCTAACGTAGAAGGAGATGGGAAGTCACCGCCTTTAAAAATGCAAATAGTTTGTAAGTTTGTATACTTCTATATTTATTTACATAGTCGCTATTAATATTGGTAGATTTATTGAAAACTATGAAAAGATGAAGATTTTTTGTAGCTTTAAAAATTCATAATATATGTACAAGTATATTTTGTGGATGTTTTAAATAAAGAAGAAGCCAATTATGATTTTATTGCTTTAATTAGTGAATTTATTCTCTAACAATTAATGATGATTAATAAAAAAAAATTACAAAAATAAAAAAAACCCGACTACGTAAAAAGCGATACACATGGCAAGACTCGTAGAAGAGTAATATGTTTGTCTCCGACTGCTTAGTGCTATATTTCTCAGTCAATTTGTTTTCATCTTTTTAGTTCGATTTTTACGCAGTTGGGTTTTTATTTTATTTTCGTAAATTAATTTTTTACAGCTTTTTAGTTTTAACATTTTTAGTTTTATTTAACAATTTCTTATCCTAAATTATTTTTAAATATATAAGTAACGTATATTACAATTACAAAATAATTGCCTCTTAATACCCTGTATTTTGATACCCCACTCGATTGATGCGGACGAAAAAAATTTGTTCAAGACACAAATTGGCGCCTAGATCCGCCATTCTGATTTTTAATTATATTTAATATTTATATACCCTATGACAAAAGCGTTGTCAAGAAGAATCTTACGACGTAAAAATCATCAAAGTTGGTCCACGCGTTTGGTCTCTAGAATTCCACAAGGGAACAAACATACATACATAGGCTGATAAACATATTACCCTTCTTTGCGTCGCGCAGTCGGATAAAAACTGGATAGCTAAAATAGTTGCGATTACTATACACATGGTAGTTTACCTCTAATTGAATTAAGTGCAGTATCAAAATGGGCGGAGAAATTGACTAATACAATAAATAACAATATATTTTAGGTTTCTATTTAAATAAAAATAAAATCCAGCTAAATATTATATTAAAATAAAAAATATATATTATACCAAGTTTATTTATTATACAAAGTTATACATATGTAGCAGTATCCCAAAATGAAGGTGAAAAAGGACGGGATCATGTTTAAGCGAGTACTTCTGAGTTTTATTTGAAAACTTTTGTCCTTAATGTTGAATGTTCGGCATTTATATGTCGTCAGTGAATTATCAGATATGCGAACCCATTTGTTTTATTCTTAATCGTCTCACGTAATAAAACTTTATCGAGTCGTTGAGTGTGGTTTTGGAATATTTACATATTCATTATATATTAGCTTTCTTTCGTGAGAGTCACGTATATGTGTATTTTGAACAATAGCCTACATCATTTTACACACCCCAATTCGATTTGCTATTAAAAGTCCCCGTTAAATCGTTAAAGCCATTCATCTTCTAACTTCTCAGAACTTCTATCTTATCAGAACTAGGTTTTTTCGAACAAAAACCTGTATCTCTTTGTATTCAGCAGTAAAAGTACTATTAAAATCGGGTTAGTAATTCTAGAGTTTTCACGATACAAACATTAAAATAGACAAAATGTTTATTTTGGTCATATATATTAGGTATTTTAAAATCGGTTACAAGTGTGTTAATTATATTTATAAAATTAAATTTTTTATATACCAGGCGACATGTTCGGAGTAATAGCTTTTCTTTGCAACCGCTGCTTTCCGTATTTCACTAGTATGAGGAGAATGCTACGCTTTGTATATCTGAACCAGCGTTTGTATGGTCATTAAAATATTCGTCTCGTGCTGATATAAACACACTGCACAGTAAGATATTATTGGTTTCTGATATCCTCATATATATCTTACGTGCATTATTAAGTCGATAACCTTGCAAGCGTCATATATTTCGCGTCCCATATTAAATATTTAGAATTGCTTTATGCCTACGCTAGTACACTTTCTATAGAGGCGTTATACAAAATATATATCAAAATATAAGGTTAGGTAACGTAACGGTGATTTAGATGTAAGACAATTCAATTATTGACTACCGCACACAATCTGGAACATAATCGTATTCGGTAGGCATTCAATTTGATAGACATACCGCATTTAACGGCAGAGATTATCTTTCCTAGATTCGATTCTACAGACACAAAGGAATCAGCAATCTTGGATCATTTAATCAATTAGAAGCCAGAACAATACGGCGAATGGACGATGGCGTACATTTAGATTAAAGAAAGCAAGCCATAAGGGCTAATAATGTATTGCAGGTTGTTAGAAAAGAAAAGAGAAACGAGAGAAATTGGGAGATGGCCAACGATGAACAATTATTTTTGCTGAAACTGGGTTTTCGTAAAGCAAAAAACTTAACACAAGTTTCTGCGCAAAATTTACTATGAAACCATTTTTTTTTCAATAAATATTATTTCGTAGAATACGCTATTATAGAAAACATTTTCCAAATTTCGCAGCGATTATCTTGGTATATTTTGAAAGTTTTCTCCGAAATTCGTGCGAACTGTTAAAGACATTAAAAACGGGTCAAATTTATACCTTAATGTTGTTATGCAAATACTTTACACGTTTTTGTTTTATTTAAAATCAGCTGTTTTTACTCCAATCTGGTTTCGTCCGAATAGTTCTTTTATAAAAAGTAGCGTGCTATATTGTAGTAGAAGTATCTAACACTCATATACTTTGCGCATTTAGATTATTAGTGCGATTTAAGTAAAGAAATCTTGAAGGCAATTTTTATATGCTCATAAATATAAATACAATAGAAAAATTACATAAATGGTTATTTTTTATAATTATACTTTTTAATTTTTTATAATACTGTACCAGATATTTTGAGATATTTTCTTCATTTATATTTGCTACGGTACATCTCCCTTATGGTACATGATATATCGTGATGTCAAAGGATTTGCATGTAAATAACCTCATACTTCCTTAGCTATTTGTAAACAGCTTAAGCATATTGTATAGCTTCATCCTCTCGCTCTATATCGTAATCATATTACGTTCTGAATGCTTTTTCCGCTAACATAGCTTAGTGGTGCTTCTTCGCCCATTTTCCGTCAAATGTCGAACGTTCTATACTTTGCCATCGTTCTGATAGCTGTCGTTTTGATTTATATCGGAAAAAATATCACGAAGTACAAATCTCTTTCCTTTTATACGAAGCGAAATCGTGACTTTAATGAACTAAAATAGGAACATAGATGTAATACAACTTTCATCAGACAAGTTTTACGATGATTAAAAATCATACTTATATTTGTACCAACAGTAATATTTTTTGTGCAGATAGACCGTTATGCCGAAAAAGAGAGGTGAAACTGATAGGTGCAGCTCTCCAAGAACCATCTAAAGTGGAATGTGAAGTAGACGCTTTTCCGCCTCCTGACACATTCGAGTGGAGTCTTAACAATTCAGTCGGCTCGATAAAGGTCGACCCGGTAAGTAACCTTGATATCTGACCTTGTAAATGTATAGTTTATTAAGAAAATTGAGTACTTTAGAAAAATGATGATATATAGTTCGCTATCTATTAATATTATTAATATGCATTATAGAGTCGATATATTGATAGTACTTGTTGATCTTGCTATGACGATTACATTACAAGTAATATTAATTAGAATCTAAAATGAAGCAAAATATTACTCTCATGATTGAATCTCACGATTGCCGCCCACAAAATGAAAATCTATGAGTTTTGCTAAAATTAATTGGAAATGTTCCACTTTGAGGGTATTCATAAAATACGACTTTGTGTTAAGATTACGTATACATATTGAATGAATTAATTACAGTAATTTTCCTACTATTATTGTATATTACTTAATTCCTACGTGAGTAAAATTGTTTACATTAATTTTATTAGTTATAATATGCTACTAGCGACTCACCCTCGTTTCGCTTCGGGTTCGTTCCTAGACAACAACAAATCTATCCCACGGGAACCGTATATTTTTCCGGGATGATATATAGCCTAAAGCTTTCCTCAAGAAATGGACTATCCAACACAAAAAGAATTTTTCAATTCCAACTAGTAGTTCCAGAGATTAGCGCGTTCAACCAAACAAACAAACTATTCACCTTTATAATATTAGTATAGATATGCATAGTCACAGCTTCAAACTTGGTGTGAATATTATAGATGGAAATTTTTATCTTTCATTTAGCTTAGGGCTAAATGAAAATAGGGCTAAATTATATTATTTTTGTGTCCAGGCCCTTTCAGTATAATTGCAAATGTGTATTTTTGAACAACTTAAAAATGTTGAAGTTCTTTATTATTGGGTTGCATGTGTTTAGATATCACATTACGTGATAACTTCACCTATTTTGAACCAATTGAATGGTTCTTTTTTATATCTTTTTCTATTTTATTTATTTTATATATTTTATCTTATTCTAAAAATTTTAATTTATCATTGTCTTAATATTTTATTATTATTTTTATTATATACTTCTAGGTATGTAACAACTTATCTCCTTAAGCTATAGTCTTAAATTAAATAAGAGGGTCCTGTGGAAGGTTAGACGTGCGCGACACAGGGTATCCTAGTGCGTGCGTCTCAGCACTCCATTGCCAATGTTTTGTTAAACAATAATTGTTGCTAGATTAAGGAGTATATTTGTATACATTTTTGTTACCACGAATTAAATAAATAAAATAAATAAATAAATAAATATCTCAAGAGTAAGTACATTTAAACTATTGGTAGCAAAATATTAAACGTATACAAAGCTAAAAATAGCTATTTTACAAATAAAAAACTTCATTAATATCCCTAAATAAAACAATTATTTTTTATTAACACAAGTATAGATAGGTATACCGAATAACCAATAATTTTATATAATTAAAAATACTGATTTCTTATGGGATAGATCAAATAACAGCGATAACAACAAAAGCATTCCTCGCACAAGATAGTTCTGAGTTTGTCGTACAAAATTACTTAATCTCTTTTCTCTTGAGATTTTTTTGACACACGATATATGAGTACAAAGGGAAAACATTTTGGGTCTTGTTCGTTTGACGCGAAGTCGCGAAAAGGTTTCTACTCTGGGAATACTTCCTGATTTTTTATGATTCTACCCTTGGGCCTGGGAAATTATTGAAAAGCGAATCTTTCTTTGTTCTGTGTCCCTTCTATTGAACTTTATTATTCAACATTGGTATATATTATATTCATTTTAACGATGAATAAATCACAAATGTTTGATAGGTCTGGGATTTAAATATTTATTTTTCGGTTCGTATTTTAACAAGAGATGTTACTTTAAGGTTCGGTTAAATTATACCCTGTATTGATGTATTAGGGCTTTCCATTTGCTGATTAAATTCTAAATGATGTATTGCAAAATACATTTGCAAATTAGGAGAAGATATAGATATAAATCAAGGTAAATTCTATAAAGCTTGTGTATTTGATTTTGAAAAAGGCTGTTCTCTATAGAGTGCGTAACTTTAAGAACAATAGTTGTTTGTAATCCCTAATAGGATAAGCATCTGGCAATTGTTTTAGTAAAACTAAATGCTGCTACTGTGTTAGATCTAGAACAGTCATATAATTATAACATTTATACTAATATTATAAAAAGGCAGTTTGTTTGTATGTTTCAATGCGCTAATCTCAGGAACTACTAACCCGGTTTGAAAATTTCTTTTTCATTAGTTAGCCCGTTTATTTAAGAAGGCTAAAGACTAATATCATGTAAGATATAGAGTATCTATTCCATATTAACCGTTAAAACATACCCAGGGGCGAACCCGAGCGAAGCAAGGGTGAGTTGCTAGTATATTATAAATACAAAGGAATAGCTGTTGGGCTTCTTTTCGGTTTGCTTTTGCAAAACAGTAGAGTGATCTGTAATTTATAGGTCGGTTAGTTTTTCGCCTTTAGTGACTTCTGCAAATGCTGACGTCAGTAAATGAGATAGAAATATTTGTTGTACTTGTCATCCTTTACCATTTTTTTAAGTCAATTTTGTACTCTTTGCCTGAAAATACTTCAAATTCCTGTCAGGCACCATATTCTTGATAATATTTTTCTTGTTTCTTAAAATATTCTGTATCCATGCTTATCAGCCACAATGTGTGCCTCACTTTGAATAAATCCAGCTCTCATCTTTATAATTTTCGAACCCCTTTAGATACATAATAGTCGAACCCCTTTAATGGGCATGAAAACTTATAATATAAATGCTAAATGCCTTAAAAATAGAGTAAGAAAATTAAAAATATATGAATATAACCCGTACTCCTACGTAGAAGCTTAATTTATAAAATTAATGTGTTTTAATTTATTTTTCTTTAGAGTACTAACATTTAAAATTACATTAAATTCTTGGATTTTTTAAGAAAAACCTGTTTTATAAAATAAATATTTTCATAGGATCGTTTCACCGTGGACGCAAATGGAGGCAAATCTGTGTTAACGTATATCCCCGTATCAGACATTGATTACGGCACCCTATCATGTCGGGCGACCAACCTGGCTGGTCAACAAACAAGTCCTTGTGTATATACGCTGTTACCGGCTACAAGACCCGACCCACCTTCTAACTGTTCAGTTTACAATTTAACTGATGACTCATTGGACCTGACGTGCCTTGCAGGTAATTGATTAGTATACCGAAAATCACGAGCGTTGAATGATATAGAATTTAAGTTCAAAGTTATACTTAAAAGGCGAAACTACTTTGACGACACGTTTGGTTCAGTTTATACATACTGTGCAAGCGGTGGCGGGTTCGAGTCCCGCTGGAGGCATTTATTTGTGTGATGAGCGCGAATGTTTGTACTCCAGTCATGGGTGTTTATATTTATAATATGTATGTATAGTGTATCAACTATCTAGTATCTGTAATACAAGCTACGTAGCTTACCATGGAACTAGATAGTGCAGTGTGTTAGTGTCCAAACATGTTTATATTTATTGCAAATCACGAGCGTTGTATGACTTTTACTAATAGCAAAATAGAATTTAAATTCAAATTTTAAACACTCAAAAGGCGATTTCAAGCTTGTTTGTAAATATTTAAAAATTTTGTTAACGAATAAAGTGTTGTTTTTTATTCAATTGTTTTAAATGTACTCGTGATTTGAATGAAATACAATAGACTAATAAGTAAATAGTTTTAATTGATGTTTCATTTAAAAATCCATACTGATATTATTAATATGAAAGAAACTTTTCTGTGTGTCAGTGCCTTTTTACACTTAAACCACTGAACAGATTTCGATGAAATTTGGCAAGGTTATATAACATGGGAATGGATGTAGGTTACTTTTTATTCCCAATGATCTGCCTCGATTAAGAAAATACTTTTAACAAGTGGGTAATTAAAATAGAACACGATAACAGGTAATTTAAGTTAGCGGCAATATAGGCTGGCTAATTAAAATAATAATATACGAGTACAGTACTAAAATTGCTGAGTTATAAGAATTTTGAAAATTAATTAAGTTTTAATAAGCATTTAAAAGTGCTTATGTACTTAATTATTCGGTAACCGTAAACCTATTAAGTAAATGATATGTGAAAATACCGATCGTTGGAACACTGTTGTTACATTATCGAAGATTACTGATTCAATTTCAACTAATTATCCTTTTTAACCAACTTCAAAACAGTTGAAATTACTTAATTTGTTCGTTTAAAGACAGCCAAAAAGCGACATGATGAAGTTAGCTGCATTCCTTTTACAAACAGAGAGTTGTGACATACGGGATGAAATCTTTAGATATTTTTGTTCTGTTACGCCAAACAAGTATACCTTCTCACGTGCGTACATAAGTGCACACACAGGTTTTTTTTTATTTTAAGATAAAAAGTGTAGAAAAAAACATTTAAAGTTATTATAAAGTCTTGATACCTTTTTAGTATACTTGCCTTAATTTCCATATACCTACATATATTTCTGAAATTATTTAAATATACATTATATTGTAATTATGTTAAAAGGTTACGAAGGCGGTTTACAATGTGTGTACATAGCAGAAGTTTGGGCCAATGAGGGTCTAGTAACGAATTCTACGAATGGAGCAGCAGTATGGAACCTTCGAAGACTTGGTGCTAAGAGGCATCTTAAATTAGTAGTATATGCTGCCAATAGCAGAGGGAGATCTGAGCACGTCACCTTTACTGTTGAAACTGCTCCACGACTGTCACCAAGAACTGGTTAGTTCGATACTTTTTTATCCTATTCCAAAGTGGTGAGAATTACTGTTCTTAGCCATTTTTTGGAGCGCTAGTCGCACTGCTGGGCACAACTTTAGGTTATTTCATGAGGGGATTAACCCATAGATTACAATGCTGGCCAAGTTCCGGATGGCGGACTTTACAAATGATGATGGTTTATCGAGGAACTCAGTAGGTTTTCTTAGACATGATTGTTTCCTCAAGATGTTCTGATGATCTGCCCTAAAAAAATTTTCCACTAATAGAAACTTATAGTAACCTTGACAATTTTTATCGATTTATAAAACAAAGTGATCTTAAAGCAAAAGCTAATTTAATTAAACAAAAGAAAAATCAAACACCTGTTAAGGGAGGTGAGCTGATAAAGGATGGGGTATTATAATATCACGTAGTCGCAATGTCATTTTTTATTTTGTTGTTATATATTACCGATATCATTCGAAGAAAGTCAGTTTGTCTAAAAGGCTTATAAAAAATGAATGATATTCTCACTTACAAAATAAAAGATGTCAAAGCCCTTGTAAAAGCCGCATAAAGGAAATAAGACGTTTTTGATAAAACCGACGTAAGAAGTATTAAAGCAGATAAAATCCTTTTATAAACAGAGAACACACAACTCTTGATCTTTGCTCGTTTAGCCTTTTATCGTTTCCGCTTTAACCGAAATCTTTTGTTGCAATATGAATGCAGTTTATATATTCAAAGACGAATACTTAAGAATTTACCAGAATAAGCTGTAATATTCTATTTGAATACTATTTAGTTTTTTTCCGTTTTAAAATGCAGTAGGTACAATTTGGTTGAATATCTTGTTACCTCATTGGCTTAATGGCTACCATGCATGCCTGCAAATCCTGGATTTAAGATCCCGTAGAAAAAAATCAGTCAAGATATATTTTTTTACGTTTTTGTAGCTGCAAGGATAAAATGAATCCTTTATAATTTCTGTTCGTCATATCTGTATTTGTATCGTCATATCCATTTTACTCAAAGACTGAAATTTGGTAGGTATGTAGTTGTCTCATTTAAATCGCAGGCTAGTCCCACAGTCAAATGATAAAAAATAAAAACAAATGGGGTGGTATTTGATACATGAAACTGAGGCGTGAAAATTTTGTTTTAAATCTATATAAGCATGAGAGGTATCCCTGGGTAGGTCTTTCAAGGTAATATAGATTGTTTCTCAGTGATAATTTTGTATAAGCCAATACTTTTGAGCTATATATATTTTTACATATTATCTATATTTATTTATTATTTATTTTTATATATTTTTGAGTTATAACTTAAGTTCCGAAATACTTTAAACGAAAATTATTTTAAAGAAGATCCGTCGAGAACTTTTGAGATATGAAATATTTTTAAATTTAAAGCGTTCGGCCGCAAAAATAACATTGTCTCTCATAAATACTATGAAATACAAAATAATTTATGCTGTTAATTAAATTAATAATATAATATTAATAATTACATGGGTTTTTATCTTATTTTTAAGGTAACATCTTAGTTTGTTATCAAAACACAAATTAGATGTTTCATGCTACGAAACCCACGGTATGCGAGTCAGACTCGCATTTGTCTGATTTTTATAGTAAACTAAAAAAGTATACATTATGTACCAAAGAAATACTTCTATGTATCGGAATACAAAGCAAGCAGTCTTTCCAATTTTTTGACCTAAGAAACCATATCTATATAAACTTTATATTGAACTATTGTGCCATTCCTGCCTATAAGACATTAAATAAAATATTTTAGCTCTTATTACATTAGCAAGGATATCCATACTAATATTATAAATGTGAAAGTGTGTTTGTTTGTGTGCTTTTCTTTCACGTCGAAACGGCTTGGCGGATTAGTGTGATTTTTTGTGTGGAGATAGTTGGAGGGCTGGAAAGTGACATAGGCTACTTTTTATTGCGCGAAATCATCTCATTCCCACAGGAAAACATGTTATAATACAACCCAAAAAATATTTGAGATCAGAATAACTTGAAACTTGGTATTAATGCTTTTCAATACAATTAAATAAATACGTGTTTTAGAATTTTTCAAAATTCATCCTATAATGGGGTAAAATAGGGGATGAAAATTTGTATGAAACCTACCTTTTATACAGACTTTTTTTTAGTTTTAGCGCGAGCAAAGCAGCGGGATCCGCTAGTACTTTATAAACTAACAATATTTATAAGTAATTGTTAAACTCCAATTTTATTTATTGTCTCCAATTGCTAATGTCACAACATATTTATATTTATTTATTATTTAGATAAATTTACCGTTTTAATATATCACTCTGTGAATCATTCTATTAAAATAATAAAATAAATACAAGCCCAGCCACTCAGCGCAAAGTAAATTTTCAATAAATATTCCTGAATGTATACTTTCCTTCTCTTCCTTTGAATAAATGCTTCTTAACAATAGGATAACTTGAACACACAATTGTAGGCGCCATTTAAAACACCTTCAAGAATCACGTAGTATGGTTTATTTTATGATAAAATTTTCCTGGTACTATGTGTTTTTCTATCTGTCACTATTTACTTATACCATGAACGAAGTCTCTAATTCGTCCATGACTTATACATATATAAGATTTATTGGCGGAAATATTCTAGTCTAGACTCTAGATCTACAACTATACTAAGAATAACTATGGTTTTATATGGGAGTAATTTGAAGTTTCTATTTAAATCTACTCAGATTTAACCAAGTCTAAGCTATTACTGAGATTTTTTTGGCAGAAACACACTATAACCCAATCCAGAACTCGAACCCAGTTCCGATCTGCAGCAATCTGTAGATGCATGGTAACTAAAAGGCCATTGAGAAGTAACTGGTGTTTAGTTCAAAACTATAATAGTATGTACTATTCTTAAAGAAGTCGCTTTAAAGTATTCAAATACTATATTAAAAGTACGATCCATCTGATAGAAAATACTTTGATACACGAAGCGCCTTACGCTTTATAACACAGTTATGTAAAGTATCACAAGAAACCAAATAAACCAAAACTCAAACGTTTTTAAAAACTCAACTTTACGACAGGTTTTTTAAAATCTGTGAGTTTATACAAAATCCTGAAGGTACTAAAAAGCTATTATTTTGATATTACAAACAAACACTTCAATTTTATTTATTTGTATAGATGTAGGTACATAATACGTATGTATAGATTACACTTGTTCATCATGTATATAGATTTTGATATCATGTCCCACATAATCTTTACTAAAATAATATAATTTTGAGGCAAAAAGTTTCATACGCCGTTGTTTTGTCGCGTTGTTGTGGTCGCATTTGCTTGCCGGATAACTTTTATTAGAAGTGCTTTCATGGTCGGTAAAATTTTGAAAGTGTTCCGTTTTAACTGTTATTTTGTTCGGAAGCATAAGCAGATTTTACAATTTGTAATGCAAAGCAGAGAGTAGAACAGCAACTTCAAACTTGATTTTTTTCGAATAATGAGAAATTTTACTCTGATTTCATTTAAATGGATATTATTTTATACTTTTTCGCTTAAAATATTAGTGTACAAGGTTGAGTCTTTATGTATTCCATTACAATTTCGAGTGATACTGAATGTGCATTGAATATTTAAAAAAAAAACCTCGATGCCACAGGTACGTTTTCATTGTACAGAAACTGTGAATATTTGGTTTGTTTTATTTATTCGTACACGCATTACGGTTTAACGATTGAACGAACCCGGAATAGCAATCTGAATTACAAGCTTTTACAATATGCGTAAAAAGCAAACATAATAAAAACCGTTTCAAAAGGATATGGTAATATCTAAATTCTATATATAATATTTAGGTGTTAGGTTATACGTATTTATTATCTAGGTATACATATAATAAAATTGTAACTAAGTCGAATCTACACATTAAATATTTTTTGGAAAATCTAATTGAAATAGACATTATTATCGATACAGAGTCCGAATCTATAGTTTTTAGATTTTTTGTCTGTATGTCTGTTACCATGTCAACATATAGGATACTTTTTACCGCGGGAAAATATTTCATTTCTGAGAAAAAATACAAAAACTGCATTGTAAGAGTATACTAATATGTAAAACCTAAGAATTTGGTTTCTGGTCATCTGAATGCGGGGGGAGCCGCGGGCAATGCAAGCTATGAAATAAAGTATTTTTATTAGTAATTAATGTCAATTTTGCTTCTTTTATCCCGACGTTGTGGTTTTACCCGACTGCGTGGCGCAAAGGAGGGTAATGTCTATATAATATGTATGTATATGTAGTTATGTATGTTTGTTCCTATGTGGCGTTCTAGAGATCAAACGGGTGAATTTTTTATTCCGGAAAAATTTACGGTTCCCGTGGGATATGTTTGTTTTTATTTTAACTTTATTAATGAAATAATTATGCAAATGTAATTTAATTTGTTTCATTAAATGTATAGAATCAATCACAGCTACATCATCTTATCTGGCATTAGGCCATCTTATACATATTAATTTTGACAGTGACTAATGACGTGTCACGTTAATTATTATAAATCCCGAATCACGAAGTTCAATCCCTTTCTTAACTTGATAATTAATTAATCCTTACAATTTGTACAGATTTTAGGCATTTTCCTTTTATAGTTATATACATAGTCGTTGGTACATCTGCTACTGACCGTGTAACTTCTGAGTAATGAAATTAGACAACATGACTAAAATAAAGCGTTATTTATTAAGCCAGTTCCAAGGCAATTGAGGCGTTTGCGATTTTTTCAGGAAGCATACATATTATATATACCTATAGAAAAACTTTAAAAACAAAACCTTATCTAAATACAAAATTTGAAAAAACGTTAGAACTGTTGTCCAAGATAAATGAAATAAATTTATAGATATACAAGAATTGCTCATTTAATATTAAACTAGCGACTCGCCGTCACTTCGCTTGCGTTCGTTCTTTTACTTTTAAGACAAACTTTCACCCCCATTTGCACTCCTTTAAG